ATAAAGCAAGTAACCAACAGTCTGCACACTTATAAGCCACATTTGTAAAACGGATGTGCACGCAAAACTCAAGCTCTGAAACACGATCACACTTCCTGTGTGGATTCTGGGTCCCTATCTTTTGGGGTGGAAGAGGGGGATAGGGGGGAAGCAGATCTACGCCCCTAAAAAGCATATGGTAGGAGGCTACTCGTTAGGGGTATTTTTTTTTTTTTCGAAGTCGGAGTGCATCAGGCCAAAAGACGAAAAGCCATAAGTCTGCATACAAATAAGTCAGATCTGTAAAATAGATGTGCACTCGAAACTCGAGTTCTAGAATAAGACAAAGTCCATACGCGGATGAACGACCATAACTTTTCGCTAGTTTGCGGTTGGTAAACGCTCAGAAGAATCCGAAAGTTCAGGCAAAATCAACTAGTTTTAAGAGATGCGCGTAATTGGGGTATACTGTTAAGAAGACAGAACAGACCGAAAGACATTAAATGTCATCCCTGTGTGGATTCCGGGACCCTTGTTGGGGAAAACAAGAACAGACCCACTGATTCCCCATCGAAAATGTCGTAAGAGTCGAAAATTTGGGTTTTCCTTCCAAGTCGGAGTGAATCTGCCTGAGAGGCAAGGAACTATCAGTTTGCCTGCAAATAAGTCAAATCTGTAAAACGGATGTGCGTGCAACACTCAGGTTCTGGAACAAGTCTAAAGTCCAGCGGTGGATAAACAACCAGAACTTTTCTCAGGAGTTTATCGCTTTTGGAAGTAAAGAAGACGTTAAAGAATAAGAAGAATTAAAATGTGCATGTAGACAATATCAGTGATAAACTATGATGTATTCACACATGGAAACAACACTTCACAACACAGTGGTGGTTTAGCTCCAACATCTGGGGCGGTGGGTCGTGGGATGGTGGAAATATCTGGCAATGCATTGTTCCATCATGGCGAACGTAGACGATGCTGTTGTTTCGCAGGAGTCCAAGGAGGACAGTCACGACGTTGTGGAGCAAGGTAGGCTTGCAGTAAATGTTTGCAGATTGAATATTACAAGTGTGCAATGAGATTACAAATATCTACCCTTTTTGTTCTGCGTGTAAAACATTACATCGGTTCACCGGCTCAGTAAGCATGATAAAGAATTAAAATTAATCAAATTAATGTAAACATTAACTTTAACCAACCTGCGATTTAATTCAATAATCATAATGAACCTATCTCGTACTCTGTAATAATTCAGTCAGTACAGTAGTAATACATGGACTGCAGCAAGGAATTTGGTGGTCCACGGGCCATATCTGGCCCGTCAAAGCATAGCAAGTAGCCAGCGGATCAATGCCAGTTCCAGTTTAGTTGTATTAAAATTAATGATTTTTTTCTCTGGCCTGCGTGCGTGGATGATTTCAAAATTATGACCCGCCTAACTAAACTAACTTTTTTAGTTGAATCAATCAATCAGTTCAATCAGGTGCAGTCTCTGAGTCTGCACAGTGAAGGTTGGCTTCAAATCAATGGATCTTCCAACACACTCTACTATCTCTCTTGTCCTGGTTGTACACACTCCCTCAGACTGAGACTGTGTCCTCCCACTTATTGTTGCCTACCTCTTGCTCTCTTCTTGCCTTTGAAATTTCCCTCCCAGTTTGGTTTTTAAAAGTGTGTTATGTCTTTTAATGTAGCCGAAATATTTCAATTATCTATTTTTTATTTTCTTTCAACAGTTCTTTTTTCATATGTAGTGTAGTAGCCTTTCCAGTACCTCTGCATTGGACTATTTTTGTTTCCATGACATGAAATACAACTTTTTCTTCTGCATACTCACATCTTCAGAGACTCAGTTCGATTTTCTAGTTGCTTGTTTATTTTCCAAGATGCTGCACCTTATAGGAGGTCTTAGTATATATAGATAACATTTGTCATTTCAAATTTTTAGTATGTTGTTTATCTCTCTTGCAGTCAGTAATGTGCATATCTTATTGAAGACAGTTTTAGCCATCCCTATTCTCTCTTTGATTTCCGTTTTGCTTCTTCCATTGTCCGTTACTACATGTCCTAGACAGGGAAAAAACTTGTTACTTGTACTAATAATGGGGTGTCCTGGGACACCACGGCAGTGATCACCATCCCTGTAGCATAGTGGTGGAGAAAGGCAGATCTAGGAGTCACAAAGAAGAGAAGACCAAGACGTTTAAAAATGACAGCACATTGTAGGGTGTGGTAGGCAGAATAAGGCCTCTGAAGTGCGGAAATCAACGCAACAAGAGGAAAAGCTGGGAACAACCTCCCTGGTGGATCGATGAGGTAGAAAAGGTTCTGGCAGACAAACGATGCAGGGTGAGGAAGTGGCAGAGCTCTAGAAAAAGAGGCAGTCCGACCACTTCCTGTTTTTAAAACGAGACATTGACAAAAAGACAGACAATTTTAAAACCAAAGCAAAGACAGTAAAAAAGGGGTAAGTGGGCAGAACTATATGAACAGATGAGCCGAGGCAAGTTATTGAAACTCTTTTGGCGACTCCACAAGAGTATGAATAGGACAGGGAAGAGCATAGACATTCCCGACTTCCAGACCTTGCCTTGCAGAAATCAGAGGAACATAAGGGCAAGGCTCTGTTCACCCACTGTCTAGAACAGAAAAACCAGCGAGGAAACAACATGTCCGGAACCACCATCTCAAATATGTATAAAACATAGGAAGTCGATAATGATGACCTAGTGACGGTAGATGAGGTTGAGGCTGCACTACGATGTGCAAACAACAGTGCACCGGGTCATTACGCCTGCATCTGGGTGAAATTGTTGCCCCTCTAGAGCTGTTTTTAGAGGTCTGAACATGAAATATCACATGGTTGGTGACATTGACAAATTAGGTCTGTAAGGCCTATAGGCCGGATGTTGTAGATTTTCCCACTTCTTACCAGCACAGTCTTTGCAACAGGCAGGCAAGCATTACAACAAAATCAGACTACAAGAGAGCATCTTGGGAATTTTATTCTCAATGGCTTTCTGATTAACTACTATAGCATTAAATCACATCATCAGTATTCAAAATTAACTCCAAAGAAAATGGTAACTAAATAAAACTATTCTATAATGTAAAACTAATATAACATTAACTATACTTCTTTATGTTTACTGGCTGTGAACTCGTTCGGAGAGTTCTGGTTGTTCATCCAGACCTGGATTTTAATCTTGATCCAGAACTGGACTTGTGCTGCACAAGAATGTGACAGATCTGTGTCTGCCAACAGATGGATGCGCTGTGATCTTAAATGAAACCACCAATTAGTTTCTTTTTGAAACATGTTTGTTAATTAGCTGTACTGATAACATTCCATTATTGTGAGGTATTGTGGCAAACCTAAAAAGCTGTGTCAAAATATGCTCCCAGTTGACTAGGTCCAAACTGATTACCCAAAAAAAATGGTCTGGTTTGTAAAACCAAGTGATGTGATATTGATCACATCACAGGTTGAGTATCAAGTGGTCTAAAAATATCTGGCGAGCACTGTCAACCCAAAAATGTCTCATGTTAGCTCCAGGACACTGTTTTGGAGAACAAAGAATAAACTCTCTGCCCCCCCCCCCCCACAAACAAGCATGACTTAGGAGGCCACCAATAAGGGGTGTTTCCTTCTGCCTGCCAACAAGGAGCCAAGTCTGCATAGAAATAAGCCAGATCTGTATTATCTTCTTCTTCATGTTCACTGGCTGTAAATTCCAGGGGAAGTTCTGGTTGTTCAGCCACCTCTGGACTTCAGACTTGTTCCAGAACTTGAGTGTCATGTGCACATCGGTTTTACATATCTGACTTTTCTGTATGCAAACTGTTGGTTCCTTACCCTTTCAGGAAGATGCACTCCGACTTCGAAAGAAAGATCGGTATAATAATTGTGCATGCGAAACTCAAGTTCTGAATCTAGACCAAAGTTCAGGAGTGGATAAACAACCAAAGGTTTCCAGCCAGTGAACTTTAAGAAGAATAGTTTATGCCTAAAATATACTCTGCTTGAAACTTGGTCAGCTTATTTGCACCGGGAGAGATGGCTAAATAGCTTTCACATGCGATGCCTAAGAAGAATACTTGGCTTTAAGTGGCAGGACAAAATCACTAACACTGAAGTACTGGAAAGAGCAGGTACTACAACAATCTTCCCAATGCTCAGTCTACGAAGGCTCAGGTGGCTGGGTCACACATGGAAAATATAGGACATCCTTTATGGTGAATTAAAGATGGGTAGAAGATGTCGAGGCTTCTACTACAGTATAAAGATGTGTGCAAGCGGGACATAAATGATACAGGTATTGAGGTGGACTTATGGGGTAAAAAATGCCATGGACTGTGTTTTGAGGAGAGGGCATATCAGGAAGGAAATGAGACTGAAGGAAGAAATGATTTGCAGAAAAGATGAGATTTGAGCATCTAAGAAGAAACGGATTAAACACAATTGTTGACAACTATGGTCCTGAAATCCCATGCTATCATTGTGGAAAACTTTTCTTTACACGGGCGGGTCTTGCTAGTCACACTTCCCATTGCCATGGGCTGTAAGTCCCATGTCTCCTCATAGCGTGATATAACACTTTCGCCTGGAAAGACCGAAAGGTGCCAGTCATACGCCCAAAATATGGTTTTTGTGGAATTATGTTTCTGTTTCCATTTCTAGTTTTTTTTACCATTATTCCCCCTGTGTGGGTTCCGGGGCCCCATTGTGGGGAAAACAAGAATAGACCCACTGCCTCCCCAAAAGCATGTCGTAAGAGTCAACCAATTGGGGAGCTTCCTTTAAAGTCTGAGTGCATCTGCCGGAGAGGCAAGAAACCAACAGTCTGTATTCAAGAGAATGAGATCTGTAAAACTGATGCACACGCAACACTCGGGTTCTGGAGTAGGACTGCAGTTCAGTAGTGGACGAGCAACCAGAACCTTCCACTAGAGTTTACAGCTGGTGAATGTGAAGAAGAAGAAGATTTACCATTACTAACCTCTGTTCTCTGCCAGAAAACACAATGGAGGAAATCTCAGAGGTCCAGCAAACAAGTGATGCTGAAGCTGTAGCAGCAGAAGATGGAGTTGGTTCAGATAAGACTGCTACCGCTGAGAACCCGGAGCAGGTGCAGATACTGGCTGATGCTGTGGAGATTGAGCAGAATGGTGAAGAAGAGAAGGATGATGAAGAGAAGAAACAGAAAGCTGCAGAGTTGGGGAAATACTGGTCAGCTGTGGAGGAGAATCCAATGGACTTCACTGGCTGGACTTACCTGCTTCAGTATGTGGAACAAGAGGTAGGATCCTTTCTGATGTCTGTAATATCATTTCTGATGTCAGAGGTATCATTTCTGATGTCTGTAATATCATTTCCGATGTAGGAGGTATCCTTTCTGATGTCTGTAATATCATTTCGGGTGTCTGTAATATCATTTTGGATGTCTGTAATATCATTTCTAATGTCTGTAATATCATTTCTGATGTCAGTAATATCATTTCTGATGTCAGAGGTATCATTTCTGATGTCAGAGGTATCATTTCTGATGTCAGAGGTATCATTTCTGATGTCTGTGTAGGAGGTATCCTTTCTGATGTCTGTAATATCATATCTGATGTCAGTAATATCATTTCTGATGTAGGAGGTATCATTTCGGATGTCTGTAATATCATTTCTGATGTCTGTAATATCATTTCTGATGTAGGTGGTATCATTTTGGATGTAGGTGGTATCCTTTCTGGTGTCTGTAATATCATTTCTGATGTAGGAGGTATCATTTTGGATGTCTGTAATATCATTTCTGATGTCTGTAATATCATTTCTGATGTCGGAGGTACCATTTCTAGTGTCTTTATATTCTATCTAATGTCGGTTGTTTGATGTAATCTCTGATGTTCTATTTTTATGTTGTTATTTTGTTTCTCCTGCTGGAGTTGTATCATTTCTGTCTTTAAAAGGTAGAACAGTTATACAAATCAGGCCAGACGTCAGGAACAACTCAAAATTAGTTTGCTAGGCAAGCTGCTCCAACAAAGGTATTGGGCTTATAAGGCTAGCCCTATATTTTACAAACTGGTCGGCGCTGGGTGGTTAATGTGGTCATCATCACGTCGGCTGCCTTTACTTTCCAGGTCTGTACCTGGTACCCACTCAAGGCTTGGTCGACCTGAAAGCCAATGTCATTTTTTAAGTCTGGCTCAGTCATTTAAAGTAACAGATCTATTTATTTATTTAATAAGTAATGTTGATTGTGAGGTGAATAAAAAGAAAGAAATTATAACACACTTTGGCAAGTTATCAGCAGCTTTTAATATCCTATACAAAATATGAAACTTTAAATTGTATAGTTTTAAAACCAAGTTACATATTTTCTTTATTCTAATGTTTTTTTTTTTTTACTAGCAAAAGTTGTAGAACTACTAAAGATATGAAAATAAATAAATTTGAAAACAAAGGAAAATAATGAAAATAAAATGGGATCCATTGGGAAAAGGGTGAAGAAATAAGAGAAATGTTAGGACAACCACTTGTATCAACAGTTATAAGACAGAGACAATGACGCTACACTAGACACATCCTTAGAGAAAACCAGGCATTTAAATGGTAAATTGATCACACGAGGCTGTTGCTGGAGACATGGAGTTACATTCTTTGTGCTGTTCTCTCAGCAGGAAATATGCTCTGTAGAGAGATACCAAGACAAATGTTATCACACCCCTTGCGGAGAATCAATCCTCTTGCAATTGTCTGTTTTAATCTATAACCATTTGTTCATTGTATTCAAAACCAAGAGTTTTTCATGTTTTCATTTTTTTCTTTATTATTTCTAGAATGATCCAGAACACTGCCGAAAGGCGTATGAAGCATTTTTTTCCCATTACCCTTACTGCTACGGCTACTGGAAAAAGTACAGTGACATGGAAAAGAAGCATGGCAACAAGGAACTGGCTAAAGAGGTACCACATGACAAATGGCACTGTAACTGAGGTTTTCTAATATGTATTTACATGGTATCAGCAGTATATTAAATGTTACTGGTTTTCCATAGACATGTTATTCAACTTTAAATGCACGCTAGATAATTTTGTGTACTGTGAAATACACGTGTATTGACGGTATATTAAATCTGTTACTGGTTTTACATAGACATGTTATTCATATTTATATACTGGCTAGATAATTTTATGTAATGTGAACACCTAAAAACATTATTTATGGATGTTTTACCATTGACTTTGCTTTACCTAGAGGAGATTGTTCACCCGTGATTTTGTTAATGTCAGTGTTTTTTTGTTTGGGGCCAGGTCTTCTTCTTCTTCTCTTCCACCATTTACCTCAGCGGGGTGTTGGGGTGATGTAAGGATTGTTTTTGTGCTTTTTCTAATGCATTGTACAAGTTGGTGCTCATTTCTGTTAGGTTGGTTCTAACATTTCACTATCGTCCATGCTTTCTCTCCCTTTCCCCCCAATAAGCATGTAGTAAAAGGCATCTAATTGAGGGTGTGATTAAGTCGAATGTGTTCGACTGAGGCGAGCAGATATTGCAGCCACAACACAATGTGCCACCCGCACTTTTAAGGGTATACCTTGACCTTGTTTATAACAGAAAGTTGAAAGGAAGGTCATCTTTGCAGACCTTGAGATCGTTGGGCATATGGTGCTAGGCCTATATGTGTGTAGATATTTAGTGGATGATGTGGGTAATATTGTGCCAGCTGTATTTACTTCCCAGGGAGGATCCTTGCACCGGTTTTTATGCTGGGTTATCTTGGAAGCCTGGGTTACATTTTAAAACATCTCTCTTCATGGGGAGTCAAACTTATATCCATTGGGCTGGCAGGCAAGTTAACCACTGCAACAACAACAAAAAAGACATAAACTGTACCTATCTATATCGTCCCTATGATGGTTCAGGGAAACAGAATAGACCTACTGCCCCCAAGCATGTCCTAGGAGGAGATGATTAGGGTGTTTTTTTTTTTCAATCTGCCTGTGAGGCAGTGAACCAGCACGTTGGAGGAGACGACGATTAGGGCAGTTTCTTTCAAAGTCAAAAGTCTTATCTGCCTGTGAGGCAAGGAACTAGCATGTCGTAGAAGATGATGGTTAGGGGTGTTTCTTTCAAAGTCAGAGTACATCTGCCTGTGAGGCAAGGAACTAGCATGTCGTAGAAGATGATGCTTAGGGGTGTTTCTTTCAAAGTCAGAGTACATCTGCCTGTGAGGCAAGGAACCAGCATGTCGTAGAAGATGATGGTTAGGGGTGTTTCTTTCAAAGTCAGAGTACATCTGCCTGTGAGGCAAGGAACCAGCATGTCGTAGAAGATGATGGTTAGGGGTGTTTCTTTCAAAGTCAGTCTTATCTGTCTGTGAGGCAAGGAACCAGCATGTCGTAGAAGATGATGATTAGGGTTTTTTCTTTCAAAGTCAGAATCTAACTGTCTGTGAGGCAAGGAACCAGCATGTCGTAGAAGATGATGGTTAGGGGTTTTTCTTTCAAAGTCAGAGTCTGTCAGTCTGTGAGGCAAGGAACCAACATGTTAAAGGAGATGATGGATAGGGCAGTTTCTTTCAAATTCAGAGTCCATCTGCCTGTGAGGCAAGGAACCAACAGTTTGCATACAGATAATCCAAATGTGTGCTAAACTCAAGTTTCTGGATCAAGAAAAATATCCATGAGTGAATGAACAAGCAGACCTTTCAGCCGGAGTTTACAGCCTGTAAACACTCTGAGAAATCGAAGGAGAAGAAATCTGTTTGATGGTTTTGATTTCTATTGTAGACATCCGCATTCTGACATCTTTATGTATAAGATGTACTCACGAAGGTGAGTGACCATTTCCTTTGTTGACATTTTAAATGTTTCCCTTCTGTGCTCAGGTTGTTCCTGTGAGTGAGATCTTAAACAGAGTCCAAACGTGGGCTTTGTGTCACTTGCTTCTCTGGACACAATAATAAACACTGCAATCATCAGCTGGTCTCGTCCGACAAGTCTCAACGGTAATACAAATGTAGCTCGCACTGTATCGAACCTCGAAGAAACGTGCACTCATATCCGCCTGCCTCGATCTTGGCTTTATAATTGTCGAAATATTTGTGTTAATGACTTATATGCATTGCTTTTTTTTAATGTTGTTTCCCCCCAGGTATTTGAGAAGGGACTTCGAGCAATCCCACTGAGTGTTGAACTGTGGCTTCATTATATTAGTTTTTACATCACAGAATATGGATCTGAACCAAACGCAAAGGATAAAATCAGAAAGTAATCATTTTTTTTAAAACTGATTTTTATAATCTTCCTTTTCTCTTCCTTATTGTCTTCTTTTCACCTCCTATTTTCCCATCTCCGTTAACCTCATTTTACTTTCTCTCTTCTACCATTTCCTTCTGCTGTCTCTTCTCCTTCCTCCTTCTTTGAGTGTTTACCCAGTTTTGTCATCAAATATTTAAATTAAGTTTATGTTGATTGTTTTATTATTTGTTGCTCTGCTAAAAGTCTTCTGCAAATATGTTTCTGTGTCTTTGCTTCTATATTTCAGGATTTACACAGAAGTCTTATCTTATTGTGCATCCTTTCTTTAATGCCCCAAAATGTCTTTAAATGTCCTTCTATCTTCCTGATGAATTTAAGAGATATATTTTCTTCTTTTTCTGAACATTCTTACTGGTCAGTTTCAATATTATTTTTATTAAAGTCATTAGCTGTCCATTAAATTCCTTCGCTACCAGGGAACCCTTAGTGCGTTTATTGGTTTATGTTTATTTGATAATATTTCTTTACTGTGTATGTTATTCATCTGTTACAATAATCCTTTCTATCTAAATTATTACTATAACTTCTTCTGTCCTAAAGTTGTACTTTTCAATAAGATATGGCTAAATATATTGTTGCTATAAGGTGCAAACACTTTAGGATTGACAGTGTTAAGAACGACTGTGGAAGGAAAGAGTCAACACTGGAAATACTCTCTATCACAAGAACCAGAAATGCTTGATAGTCTCACAAAACACACAAGGCTTCATCGTCTGAGTATTTTTTGGGGGGAAGTTCACAAAACACATATGGCTTCATCACGTTTGAGAATTTTTTGGGGGGAAGTTCACAAAACACATATGGCTTTACATCTTGAGTAGTTTTGTTGGGGGAAGTTCACAAAACACACAAGGCTTCACGTCTGAGAATTTTTTGGGGGGAAGTTCACAAAACACATATGGCTTTACATCTTGAGTAGTTTTGTTGGGGAAAGTTCACAAAACACATATGGCTTTACATCTTGAGTAGTTTTGTTGAGGGAAGTTCACAAAACACATATGGCTTTACATCTTGAGTAGTTTTGTTGGGGGAAGTTCACAAAACACACAAGGCTTCATGTCTGAGAATTTTTTGGGGGGAAGTTCACAAAACACATATAGCTTTACATCTTGAGTAGTTTTGTTGGGGAAGTTCACAAAACACATATGGCTTTACATCTTGAGTAGTTTTGTTGGGGGAAGTTCACAAAACACATATAGCTTTACATCTTGAGTAGTTTTGTTGGGGGAAGTTCACAAAACACATATGGCTTTACATCTTGAGTAGTTTTGTTGGGACGTTCACAAAATACACAAGGCTTCACATCTGAGAATTTTTTGGGGGTAAGTTCACAAAACACATATGGCTTTACATCTTGAGTAGTTTTGTTGGGGGAAGTTCACAAAACACATATGGCTTCACATCTTGAGTAGTTTTGTTGGGACGTTCACAAAACACACAAGGCTTCACGTCTGAGAATTTTTTGGGGGGAAGTTCACAAAACACATATGGCTTTACATCTTGAGTAGTTTTGTTGGGGGAAGTTCACAAAACACATATGGCTTTACATCTTGAGTAGTTTTGTTGGGACGTTCACAAAACACACAAGGCTTCCTGTCTGAGTAGTTTTGTTTGGGAAGTTCACAAAACACACAAGGCTTCATGTCTGAGTAGTTTTGTTTGGGAAGTTCACAAAACACACAAGGCTTCATGTCTGAGTAGTTTTGTTTGGGAAGTTCACAAAACACACAAGGTTTCACGTCTGAGTAGTTTTGTTTGGGAAGTTCACAAAACACACAAGGCTTCATGTCTGAGTAGTTTTGTTTGGGAAGTTCACAAAACACACAAGGTTTCACGTCTAAGTAGTTTGTTTGGGAAGTTCACAGAACACACAAGGTTTCACGTCTAAGTAGTTTTGTGTGGGAAGTTCATAAAACACACAAGGCTTCACATCTGAGTAGTTTTGTGTGGGAAGTTCACAAAACACACAAGGCTTCACGTCTGAGTAATTTTGTTTGGGAAGTTCACAAAACACATATGGCTTTACGTCTTGAGTAGTTTTGTTGGGAAGTTCACAAAACACACAAGGCTTCACGTCTGAGTAGTTTTGTTTGGGAAGTTCATAAAACACATATGGCTTTACGTCTTGAGTAGTTTTGTTGGGAAGTTCACAAAACACACAAGGCTTCACGTCTGAGTAGTTTTGTGTGGGAAGTTCACAAAACACATATGGCTTTACGTCTTGAGTAGTTTTGTTGGGAAGTTCACAAAACACACAAGGCTTCACGTCTGAGTAGTTTTGTTTGGGAAGTTCACAAAACACACAAGGTTTCACGTCTAAGTAGTTTTGTTTGGGAAGTTTACAAAACACACAAGGCTTCATATCTGAGTAGTTTTTTGTGTGTGGAAAGTTCACAAAACACATATGGCTTTACGTCTTGAGTAGTTTTTTTTGGAAGTTCACAAAATACCTACAGCTTCACATCTGATTAATTTTGTTTGTAAAGTACACAAAACAACCGTGGCTTTATGTCTCATTAGGTATGTTTGGAAAGTTCACACAACACCCACGGCGTCATGTCTGATTGTTGTTACATTGGTTTTTTGACACAGGCTATATGAGAGGGCTCTGGCAGCGGCGGGATTAGAGTTCAGATCTGACAAACTGTGGGACTCTTTCATTTCATGGGAAAGTACGGGTGGCAACCTGAAGAGCATGACAGCCATTTATGAGAGGCTGATTCAGACACCAACTCAGCTGTACAGTCACCACTGGGATAAGTACGTCTTGTAGTTCCATGCTGGTTTGATCTAATCACTTCTGTTATACCTTAAATAGGCGAGTATTAGCAGTGGGAGAGTGTCCATCAGTGTGTCATCTGAGATAGTTTACGGGACTCTCGTATTCCTCCTGTCAGTTGTTTACATTACTGTGTTTAATATAATTCATGACATATTTAAGCATGTTATCCTACTAATAATTTGTCATCCCCCTCTTTCTTATAAAATTTCTCATGTTTAGGTATGAAATCCCCCTCGTTCTTATATATTGTATGACATGTTTAGACATGTTATCTCCTTTATTCTTATATATTTTATGACATGTTTAGGCATGTTATCTCCCTCATTCTTATATATTTTATGACATGTTTAGGCATGTTATCCCCCTCGTTCTTATATATTGTATGACTTGTTTAGACATGTTATCCCCCTCATTCTTATATATTTTATGACATGTTTAGGCATGTTATTCCCCCCCCCCCCCCCCCCATTCTAGGCATATATATTTTATGACATGTTTAGGCATGTTATCCCCCCCATTCTTATATATTTTATGACATGTTTAGGCATGTTATCCCCCTTATTCTTATATATTTTATGACATGTTTAGGCATGTTATCCCCCTTATTCTTATATATTTTATGACATGACATGTTTTCCCCCCCCCCCCCCCTTCTTATATATTTTATGACATGTTATCCCCCCCCTCCCCATTCTTATATATTTTATGGCATGTTTAGGCATGTTTTCCCCCTTATTCTTAAATTTTTATTAGACATGATTCTTTAATATTTTATGACATGTTTAGGCATGTTATCCCCCTTATTCTTTAATATTTTATGACATGTTTAGGCATGTTATCCCCCTTATTCTTAAATATTTTATGACATGTTTAGGCATGTTATCCCCCTTATTCTTTAATATTTTATGACATGTTTAGGCATGTTATCCCCCTTATTCTTATATTTTATTACATTTTAGGCAATCCCCCTTATTCTTAAATATTTTATTACATGTTTAGGCATGTTATTCCCCTCTTAAATATTTTATGACATGTTTAGGCATGTTATTCCCTCATTCTTATATATTTTATGACATGTTTAGGCATGTTATCACCCTCATTCCTATATATTTTATGACATGTTTAGACATGTTATCACCCTCACTCTTATATATCTTGTGACATGTTTAGGCATGTTATCTCCCTCATTCTTCTATATTTATGACATGTTAAGGCATGTTATCCCCCTTATGCATCTGGAAGAGCTAACGGGGTTTCAGCCACAGTTACTTTTTCTTGGTTTGCCCTCAAAAAAGTGATTGGCATGTTGTGTTGTGGGTTACAGCTAGGCTGCAGTGTCTTCATCTTTCAGTCCAACACATCCAATTTCTGTAAACCCTCCTTATTTGGCTCTTATGACATACTTGTTAGAGGAGGCATTAGGTCTATTCTTTCCTCAAAAACGAGCTCCCAAAATACACGTAATTAATAGTTATGGGCTGTTTTCAATTGTAGTTGGTTTCTCTCCTTGGCATGTGACTTATTCTTTTCTCTTCAGCTACCAGAAACACATTAATAATCATCATCCAAAGGAAATTCTTGATGTGGACACGTTCCTCAAAATCCGATCCGAAACTTTGGGGAAATCCTTGAATTACCAGTTTGAGGAGGATCTGGAGGGGGGACTGGATGAAACCTTGTCAGAGTCTACTGACTTAGATGCTCCACCTGGTATGTTAACATCACTGGTAAGTTGATTTCACATCTCTTAGATGTTTATTTCTGTGATGCACATGCCAGTTTTAATTTATATATATATATATATGTGTGTGTGCAGAAAAACCTGGACAGGTAAAAAGGAGACCATCTACATTCTTTGGTCATGCTGTGAAAAGAAGAAAATTTGAGTACTTTGTGATGGTGGGAAAGTTGGAGTAAAAAAAAATCAGAAAAAGACACAGAAAGAAGATGCTGGAAAGTTTGACATCATTGCATTGAAGATTACCAAGAGTTGACTGGAAGTACATAGGACAGAAGGTTGTAGGTAGACATGACTTCCAGCTTCACATGACGTGGACTTTAAGAACTGTCACCAAGCTTGCCATAATTGGAGAGATTTGGTTTTGTAGTTGTCTACCTGTATTCTTTAGAAATCTTCAGCCACAAAAACCATCCAGCTGTGCTGAAGCCTAGAAATGAAACCAGAAGTACTCAGACTTACAGTTGAACGTTTGGGCGCTGAACCACATGTGATGTTGTACTAGGGCTTTGGCTCATTCTAGTCAATTGTAGTGGGGCTATGGCTCATTCTGGTCAGTTGCACTAGGGCTATAGCTCATTTAGGTCAGTTGCGCTAGGACTATGGCTCATTCTGGTCAGTTGTATTTGGACTATGGCTCATACTGATCAGTTGCACTAGGACTATCTCTCATTCTGGTCAATTGCACTAAGACTCACTGACCATCCTAGAAACAGGTCCCCATTCAGGAGCTTGACCAACATGTTTCCTTAAGAGTCTTCTGAGCGACAAGGAATCAATAGTCTGCACATAAATAAGCCAGATCTATTTTTTTCATTGATCCAGAAACCATGAGTTGTAAACCCTTTGGCTTGGTACTGTGGTTATCAAAGCCCTTTGGTCTTGATTCCATGATATATACCATAAATCTGGAAAATATGTGGCTTTTCTGCTCACCCCTGAGCATGAAGTCAGGCCAAAAGGAGTTTGTCAGCTGGCTTAGCCAACTGAATTAGTGCACCGGGCAAGCCAGGTCTATAAAATACATTTAAGTCCTAGAACAAGGTCAAAATCCAGAAATGGACAAACAACAAGGACTTTCCACCCTAGTTTACAGCGGAATAAGTAGGAGAATAGACATGTATACAGAATGGGAGAAAATTGGCTACCATGGCAGGCATGGGAGGCTAAAAACCACAGAAACAGACCTCCAGGGCAACCCAGGGTCCTGTTGGAAGACAACATCCAACAGTTTCTGATGGACAGAGGACTGGAATGGAATAAAGCCAGAAAGAAAAATGCTGGTAGAAAAGTCTTTGGATCTCTCTGCCAAACCTCTACACCCCAGGGTAGAAGAGGAGTGAGTAAGTAAGAAGTAGAAGAAGATGTTGAATTTTACAGCAAAAGTTTTTTGTAGGTTAAAGTAACCATTCTTATATCAGCCCACAATCTTTTATGACATGCATGGTGGGTTACAGTTTGAAGTGTGTGTCCTTTCTTTTGTGCTAATATTATGCTAAATGTTTTATTTTTCACATACTATTTTACGTTCAGTTGATTTTTATTTTACAGGGTGATGAAAAGGAAGTGACTAAAAATCCGTGAAAAATTTATTGAAAGTAGGGAAGTTTTATTCAAAGCAAACGAGGCGGAAATAAGCAAAAGGTGGACATTTGAAGAAAGTGTAGGTATATCTTTTGTGTTTTCTTTATCAGATGATAAATAAACTGTGTTCTTGAGCATATATTATATAGTGTCCTTCAGCAGATTAAATATAAACTGTCCTTCAGCTGATGATATATAAACTGTCCTTCAGCTGATGATATATAAACTGTCCTTCAGCTGATGATATATAAACTGTTCTTCAGCTGATGATATATAAACTGTCCTTCAGCTGATGATATATAAACTGTTCTTCAGCTGATGATATATAAACTGTTCTTCAGCTGATGATATATAAACTGTTCTTCAGCTGATGATATATAAACTGTCCTTCAGCTGATGATATATAAACTGTCCTTCAGCTGATGATATATAAACTGTCCTTCAGCTGATGATATATAAACTGTTCTTCAGCTGATGATATATAAACTGTTCTTCAGCTGATGATATATAAACTGTTCTTCAGCTGATGATATATAAACTGTCCTTCAGCAGATTATATATAAACTGTCCTTCAGCTGATGATATATAAACTGTCCTTCAGCTGATGATATATAAACTGTCCTTCAGCTGATGATATATAAACTGTTCTTCAGCTGATGATATATAAACTGTTCTTCAGCTGATGATATATAAAATGTTCTTCAGCAGATGATATATAAACTGTTCTTCAGCTGATGATATATAAACTGTGTTCTTGAGCAGATGCTATAAAAACTGTTCTTTAGCAGATGATATATTAACTGTGTTCTTCTGCAGATGATATATTAACTCTCTCTCCCCTCCCCCCCCCCCCCCTCTCTCTCTCTCTGCATGTATGTATGTATATTTGAATATATGCATTGGTCAGGCAATTGCGGTATGAGTGTTTGGAAAAGCTAAATATAAGATGGGACCTACATAACTTATTTATGGCCCCTTTTAAATAGTTTTCTTCTTCTCCCCCCCCCCCCCCCCCTCAAGAAACCAGGCAGTTTCCGCGGTTCACGCAGCCTCTAGGAAATGGGTACTATGTGGTAAATGGAGGAACATTGCTGTAGCTATGGAGTTTCGTGCAGATGGTGACACAGGCGGAACAGTTGCTTATCAGCTGTCTGTTCTGGTGGCAGAGCACTTATGGTTTATAACCGTGTGCAATGATGCTGGTTCACATCTCCCGACTTTACCTCCCCAGAAGTGCACACACAGTGTACATTGACCACCACGACAATCCCTCCTCAATAAAAACCTTTATATTATCACAGATGTGTGTATGTGAGAGAGAAAGAAAGGAGCAGTGGTAGCATAAGTTAGTAGATGATTAATTAACCAAACTTGCCTCTTGTTCTGTCAAAGATTCGCCGACCATACTTCCATGTGAAGCCTCTGGAGCGAGGGCAGCTGAAAAACTGGAGAGACTATCTGGATTTTGAGATCTCTCAGGGCAACCACAATAGAGTAGTGGTGTTGTTTGAGCGATGCATGATTGCCTGTGCGTTGTATGAAGACTTCTGGATGAAAGTAAGTTCAGCATTCTTCTTTTATTGTTAAAATGTTAAAAATTCAGTGACAGAATGTTTAGTCGCCAGTTCTGTGACAGACAGAACATTATAAGAATTATTGAATTGTACCGATCATCGTTATCAATTTGAATAGGCCAAATTCAGCCGCTACCTAGGGAACTAGCCTCTCCTAGATAGCATCAGTTATAATTGTGGCTCCTGTTCATTCTGTTATTTCAGTGTGTGTTTCTTGGTGTTGGTGGTTCTAGCCTCCCATGTCTGACGTGCCAGGTTTTCTGCATGTTGCCTGTAGGGCTGTCATCTTAGTGCTGATTAGTTAGTTTGGTGCTAGCCTTGTTGCCAGATTCTAAGACTGAAATGAGAAATACATGGACTGATGAATGGAGGCTGTCAAAGGGAACCCTAAATTGAGTGTTGATAAGAAAGGTTAACCTAAATCTCCTGGGATGGATTCCATTGAGTAACAATGTGCTCAGTGTGACGTATAGTAGCACAACAGGAAGAGGATGACTGGTCATCATAATTGGACCCACAACTGTTAACCTTTCTGCTCCACAAACGCTTAAAAAATTGGGCCACGAACCCATAGAAATTCCAGTAGAAATCCTCAAAAATAAACACACAGGTCACTATAAATGTAAAATTTAAAGGCTGACTGAGATGAGACTAGGTTGGTCATGTTACAGGCGAACACGGCCAGACTGACTGAGATAAGCTGAGTTTGGTCATGTTTACAGACTGACTGATAAGCTGAGGTTAATCATGTAACAGACTGACTGATAAGCTGAGGTTGGTCATGTCACAGACTGACTGATAAGCTGAGGTTAATCATGTTACAGACTGACTGATAAGCTGAGGTTGGTCATGTTAAAGACTGACTGATAAGCTGAGGTTGGTCATGTTACAGACTGACTGATAAGCTGAGATTGGTCATGTTACAGACTGACTGATAAGCTGAGGTTAATCATGTTACAGACTGACTGATAAGCTGAGGTTGGTCATGTTACAGACTGACTGATAAGCTGAGGTTGGTCATGTCACAGACTGACTGATAAGCTGAGGTTGGTCATGTTACAGACTGACTGATAAGCTGAGATTGGTCATGTTACAGCCAAACACGGCCAGACTGATTGAGATAAGCTGAGGTTGGTCATGTTACAGACTGACTGATCAGCTGAGGTTAATCATGTTACAGACTGACTGATAAGCTGAGGTTCATGTTACACACTGACTGATAAGCTGAGGTTGGTCATGTTACAGACTGACTGATAAGATGAGATTGGTCATGTTACAGACTGACTGATAAGCTGAGATTGGTCATGTCACAGACTGACTGAGATAAGCTGAGATTGGTCATGTTACAGACTGACTGATCAGCTGAGTTTAATCATGTTACAGACTGACTGAAAAGCTGAGGTTGGTCATGTTACAGACTGTCTGATAAGCTGAGGTTGGTCATGTCACAGACTGACTGATAAGCTGAGGTTAGTCATGTTACTGACTGATAAGCTGAGATTGGTCATGTCACAGACTGACTGATAAGCTGAGGTTGGTCATGTTACAGCCTGACACGGCCAGCCAGACTGAGATAAGCTGAGGTTGGTCATGTTAAGCCTAGCAATGCCAGAGAGACTGAGATAAGCTGAGGTTGGTCATGTTACAATCTGACACGGCCAGACAGATAGAGATAAGCTGAGGTTGGTCATGTTACAGCCTGACACGGCCAGACAGACTGAGATAAGCTGAGGTTGGTCATGTTACAGCCTGACACGGCCAGACAGACTGAGATAAGCTGAGGTTGGTCATGTTACAGCCTAGAACAGCCAGACAGACTGAGATAAGCTGAGGTTGGTCATGTTACAGCCTAGAACAGCCAGACAGACTGAGATAAGCTGAGGTTGGTCAGTGGGTTTTAGGTATCTGACTGTCAACAGACTCAGTGCTCATGGGTAAAGAGCAAAGACCAGAACAGATATAGAAAAGTGTAACCTTGGAACAACTGTCATACATTCTCTCAGCCATCTGTTAAAACAAGACTGAGAACCCATGTGTATGCCTACCATGTAAGTGGTCTCCAGTTTGTAATACACATTTGAATGTTTGTTCCTTGATAATGCAGTATGCCAAGTACCTAGAGCAGCACAGCATTGATGGCGTTAGAAGTGTGTACCAAAGAGCTTGTGATATCCATCTACTAAAGAAACCTTACATTCACCTGGCATGGGCAGCCTTTGAAGAAAGACAAGGTATGTAGATTGTTTCTGTGTGAAACATCATAAACAGAATCATCAGTGTAGAATTCATGGCCGAACAAATACATAAAATTTAATGTGAGTTCATGGCACAATGATTTTGGTCACAAACATGGTCTTGAGGCATGGTGTCCGCCTCGAGTGCTAGAGGTTCCAGGTTCAATCCTCGGTAAGGACTGGAATATTCTTACGTATACTTGGACTTCTAGTAATTCCCCCGGTCTCTGGGTAGTGAGATCTGACGCCCTTGTGCATTGTTGCGCACAAAAAGAATCCCTTGGCAGTTGGAAATCGAAAAAAGTAGCCTAGCGGTGCTCCCTTGGCAAAAATTTGGGGTTAAAAATCTACCTAAAGTTTTTTTTAGGATCCTCGCCAGTGCTACAGAGCCTGTGCACTGTGCTGAGCTTCTTCAGACTCAAACTTGAGTTAGGAGAAGAACAGAGCATTTATGGTTTACTACCAATGTGCCATGATGTTGATCCGTTGTTCAAACCTAAAATCATTGCAATGTGTAGAAGGAGATACTCCACTCCTTACCTCTGGTACCAGCAGGCTCTGTGCTGGTTTTTCAAATCCTCATGCAAAACTCCTCCCACATGTCCTTGTCATGCCCATGGATAATGTCCTGACCGATCTGGCAGGGGATCTCAGAGTTGTTGACTCCCAGAGATGCATTGTCCAGAAGTCCTATGATGCTTGTCAGCCCACTGGTGATAATATATGTTGAAAACTAATTTGGAATGTGACTTAAGTCCGCTGGTCAAGTACCTACTAAATGTTTGATTCAGGTTCAGATGTCTGTGGTCTAAAAGTCCTACTAAAGACAAACCTTGGTTCAAATATGTTAATAGCCGTGACTCTAAAAGTATGGTTTCTTAGATTCACATGTTCGTCCATATTGTGTTTAACAGCAAAGGTTGAGATGTCCCTCACTCAAAAATCTGACTTTATGACATAGAAGTTTTAAATGTCTGCTGCCAATGGCCACACTCATCAGAGTCTAATGACCATACAACTAAGCCATGCCTGATAATGCTTCCCATAAATGCCGCAAAATGTACCCCAGGGTATCCACATGAAAGATGCCATTGTCAAAGATAAAAGTCTAGTCAGACATGCTGAGGAAATGAGATGCCCATTTGTGCAGGGAATCAGAGTCTCAGGTCTGCAGACTGCTTTCTGAGGAAGGCTCAGAATATAGTTGTAAGATCAAGCAGTCATGTGCAGGATCTGACTATTTCTTAGCTAAGCCCAGTACCAGAATGCCATGAATCAACTCTGCCTTTATGGAGTCTCCTTGGGTGGTGGGGAAAATCCATGCTGTCCCTGCCTTTCCCTAAAGGTTGACCAATCTGCACACAGATGCCTTGGACAGGTCCTGTTGGGACAACACCTGTGGATCAAAGGATGACAAAGTTACTACACATAAAAGCTCTACAAGTATTCGATCACACTAAACCGGAAAGGCTAACCGAGATGATAAGTCAGATGTGATGGCCAAAAAAAAACAAAATATCGCAGCAGTGTTGTAAACCCTCAGTACTCTTCACTGTGAACATATGAATGATTGAATCAGTCAGGAGATACTACTGCACTCTCACACATTCTGTGTTCTTATCAGTAAGTGTAAATGTTACTAAACTGATGTATCACATTGTGAAATATTTTATGACACCTCAGAAATATTATGAAATAAACAATGAATACTTATTTCTTTAAAACCACTTGCAGGTAATTATCCACTTGCTCGAAGAATTTTAACAAATTTAGAAACGAATGTGCCTGGCCTGGCTATGGTGTGTGTGAGAAGGATTAGCCTGGAGCGGCGGAGCAAAAACCACCAGGCTGCGGAAGAGCTGTTTAAAATGTACATCGACAAGGCTGTGAGCCACAAAACAAAAACATTCTTCTCAATCAAGTGTGCCAGGTACTTGCAAAAGGTAAGGTTATATTTGAATTGTTTTGAAAGTTTTTGGTCTTCTGTTTATTAAATCTTTACTGGTAAGATCAGCCACAATTGAATATTCAAAAATAAATTAATTAATTCATGGGTATTGTCAGGCCAAAAAAAGGGGAGTGTAGAAAAATACCTTTGCTTACTAAGAGTTTCAAAAGAGGCTGGTTAGGAAGGTTGGAGTTGAGACTTGCTAGCACAATTCAACGAAAAATTCTCATCTAGCAAATGTTAGCAAGTCTTTAGAGTTTGAAACTGACATCACCCCACTAGGGACATAATTATAAACACACTGCCTCCTGGTCTTCGGCAGCTACCGAAAAGTGACTTACAGCGTTAACCTGCTAGCACTGGGAGGGTGATGTTTGCTTCATGCCAGTCTCTATTCCAAGAAGGTGATGTTTGCTTCATGCCTGTCTGAATTCCAAGAACAAGCTGATCGATCGTTTTTGCTCCGCCGCTCCAAGCTAATAAATCCTTCTCATACACACCATAGCCAGGCCAGGCACATTAGCTTCTCAATTTTAAAAAATTCCTTTGAGCAAGTGCATAGTTACCTGCAAGTGGTTTTAAAGAAATAAGTATCCAATTTGAGAACCCAGGTTAAATTTGTTAACTCTTTAATAGGAGTCCTAGGTTGGATGCTACTTACGTCATTGTATTCTAAGAATTAAATATTTTAACTGACAGATGTTTGAGTCTGAAGCAGATAAAATAAAACCATGGGAAAAGAGAGGATATAAAGCACCCATTGAAGCAGTTAACAATTGCCAGATGGGGACACAAGGTTAAGAATAGTATACAGTGTAAGAGAGTTCAACAAACACAGCCTGAGTTTGAGACTGAGTGAGTAAATTTTGGGAGGTGGAGGTGACAGCAGGTGTGTGAAAAGTAGGCTCATAGGCTGACGGTCATTCGGATCAGAATATGGTCACCTAAAGAAGGAGACAACATAATCAAAATCCCTGAAAAAAAAAAGTTATATAAAAAAACAAAAACCACTCGATTTGACAGACAGGATAGATCTAAAGGTTAATGCAGACGGTTGTGCAATAAAGGCCAGGGGAAATCCTGAATCAGCAGCTTACTTACCACTCTTTACCAGTTGCTGGGTTGACTGAACACCTTTGGAGAAACCCTGAGTGCAGTACAGTCTGAGTAAATGTAATAAGGACCCTTTTTCTTTATTTCAGGTGTATTGGGCGCAAAACGCTGAACATATATTTTATGACCTAGTTGGTGCTTGGTGGGTGACGTGAGCAGCCGCCTTTACCTTCTAGGACTTTACCTGGTACCCACTCAAGGCTGGGTCGACCTGAGACCCAAGGTCATTTTGGGGGTAAAGTCTGGCTAAATCACGACCCGCACCCAGGACAGTCTGATCTGCAGGCGAACGTCAGCTACTACACCAAAGCGCGGCTCCCTCATAGTAAATCTCATATGTTGTAATGTTGGTAAAAGAGGAGAATTACGATAAAGGAGACGACTGAATCCTTTCTCTTCTGTGCTCATCCTGAAAGGCATACTCGGCATGCTGTGCTTGGGTTTACACCCATACTGCAATATCTGTGCCTGGTGGTCTAGTTATACAATTTCTGCCCACTAACAGTATTTCAGCATTTATGTAACACTTGTTGGGGGTAGGGGTGGGTCAGTTTCAGTGGACCTCTCCGCCCCCCCACCCTCCCTCCCCCCAGAGCCCACACGCAGTATAATACTCTTGAAAAAAAACTCGGATGACGAATGTAGCAGTGTTTATGGCACTTCCTTAAGGTATATGAAGTGGTGATGATCATGATAATGATGCTGATATAATGAACGTTTCTGAACTTGGTTGCAGGTTATGGGAGAGACGGAGAAGGCTAGAAAAGTATTACTAGATATTTTAGACAAAGATAATGTAAGTAGAGCTTCTCTTGTTTATTATTCTTACTGCTTGTTATGTCATTGTCAACATGTAGCTCACTACCATATGTCTTTGTTCTATAAATCACCTCCATATCACTGTATTCTCTAACTCGCCACCATATCACTGTATTTTCTAACTAACCACCATATCACTGTATTCTCTAACTCACCACCATATCAAAGTATTTTCTAACTAACCACCATATCACTGTATTTTCTAACTAACCACCATATCACTGTATTTTCTAACTAACCACCATATCACTGTATTTTCTAACTAACCACCATATCACTGTATTTTCTAACTAACCACCATATCACTGTATTCTCTAACTCACCACCATATCACTGTATTTCTAACTAACCACCATATCACTGTATTTCTAACTAACCACCATATCACTGTATTTTCTAACTAACCACCATATCACTGTATTTCTAACTAACCACCATATCACTGTATTTTCTAACTAACCACCATATCACTGTATTTTCTAACTAACCACCATATCACTGTATTTTCTAACTAACCACCATATCACTGTATTTTCTAACTAACCACCATATCACTGTATTTCTAACTAACCACCATATCACTGTATTTTCTAACTAACCACCATATCACTGTATTTTCTAACTAACCACCATATCACTGTATTTTCTAACTAACCACCATATCACTGTATTTTCTAACTAACCACCATATCACTGTATTTTCTAACTAACCACCATATCACTGTATTCTCTAACTCACCACCATATCACTGTATTTCTAACTAACCACCATATCACTGTATTTTCTAACTAACCACCATATCACTGTATTTTCTAACTAACCACCATATCACTGTATTTCTAACTAACCACCATATCACTGTATTTTCTAACTAACCACCATATCACTGTATTTCTAACTAACCACCATATCACTGTATTTTCTAACTAACCACCATATCACTGTATTCTCTAACTCACCACCATATCACTGTATTTTCTAACTCACCACCATATCACTGTATTCTCTAACTCACCACCATATCACTGTATTTCTAACTAACCACCATATCACTGTATTTCTAACTAACCACCATATCACTGTATTCTCTAACTCACCACCATATCACTGTATTCTATCACTAAACTAACCACCATATCACTGTATTCTCTAACTCACCACCATATCACTGTATTCTCTAACTAACCACCATATCACTGTATTCTGTAACTAACCACCATATCACTGTTTTCTCTAACTCACCACCATATCACTGTATTCTCTAACTAACCACCATATCACTGTATTCTCTAACTCACCACCATATCACTGTATTTTCTAACTCACCACCATATCACTGTATTCTCTAACTCACCACCATATCACTGTATTCTCTAACTCACCACCATATCACTGTATTTTCTAACTCACCACCATATCACTGTATTTTCTAACTCACCACCATATCACTGTATTTCTCTAATATCACTGTATTCTCACCACCATATCACTGTATTCTCTAACTCACCACCATATCACTGTATTCTCTAACTCACCACCATATCACTGTATTTTCTAACTAACCACCATATCACTGTATTCTCTAACTCACCACCATATCACTGTATTCTCTAACTCACCACCATATCACTGTATTCTCTAACTCACCACCATATCACTGTATTTTCTAACTCACCACCATATCACTGTATTCTCTAACTCACCACCATATCACTGTATTCTCTAACTCACCACCATATCACTGTATTCTCTAACTCACCACCATATCACTGTATTCTCTAACTCACCACCATATCACTGTATTCTCTAACTCACCACCATATCACTGTATTCTCTAACTCACCACCATATCACTGTATTCTCTAACTCACCACCATATCACTGTATTCTCTAACTCACCACCATATCACTGTATTCTCTAACTCACCACCATATCACTGTATTCTCTAACTCACCACCATATCACTGTATTCTCTAACTCACCACCATATCACTGTATTTTCTAACTCACCACCATATCACTGTATTCTCTAACTCACCACCATATCACTGTATTTTCTAACTCACCACCATATCACTGTATTCTCTAACTCACCACCATATCACTGTATTTTCTAACTAACCACCATATCACTGTATTCTCTAACTCACCACCATATCACTGTATTCTCTAACTCACCACCACATATCACTGTATTCTCTAACTCACCACCATATCACTGTATTTTCTAACTCACCACCATATCACTGTATTCTCTAACTCACCACCATATCACTGTATTCTCTAACTCACCACCATATCACTGTATTCTCTAACTCACCACCATATCACTGTATTCTCTAACTCACCACCATATCACTGTTTTCTCTAACTCACCACCATATCACTGTATTCTCTAACTCACCACCATATCACTGTATTCTCTAACTCACCACCATATCACTGTATTCTCTAACTCACCACCATATCACTGTATTCTCTAACTCACCACCATATCACTGTATTCTCTAACTCACCACCATATCACTGTATTCTCTAACTCACCACCATATCACTGTATTTTCTAACTCACCACCATATCACTGTATTCTCTAACTCACCACCATATCACTGTATTCTCTAACTCACCACCATATCACTGTATTTCTAACTCACCACCATATCACTGTATTTTCTAACTAACCACCATATCACTGTATCTCTAACTAACCACCATATCACTGTTTTCTCTAACTCACCACCATATCACTGTATTCTCTAACTCACCACCATATCACTGTATTTTCTAACTAACCACCATATCACTGTATTCTCTAACTCACCACCATATCACTGTATTCTCTAACTCACCACCATATCACTGTATTCTCTAACTCACCACCATATCACTGTATTTTCTAACTCACCACCATATCACTGTATTTTCTAACTAACCACCATATCACTGTATTCTCTAACTCACCACCATATCACTGTATTCTCTAACTCACCACCATATCACTGTATTCTCTAACTCACCACCATATCACTGTATTTCTAACTAACCACCATATCACTGTATTCTCTAACTCACCATCATATCACTGTATTCTCTAACTCATCACCATATCACTGTATTCTCTAACTCACCACCATATCACTGTATTTCTAACTAACCACCATATCACTGTATTTTCTAACTAACCACCATATCACTGTATTCTCTAACTCACCATCATATCACTGTATTCTCTAACTAACCACCATATCACTGTATTTTCTAACTAACCACCATATCACTGTATTTTCTAACTAACCACCATATCACTGTATTTCTAACTAACCACCATATCACTGTATTTCTAACTAACCACCATATCACTGTATTTTCTAACTAACCACCATATCACTGTATTTTCTAACTAACCACCATATCACTGTATTTTCTAACTAACCACCATATCACTGTATTTTCTAACTAACCACCATATCACTGTATTTCTAACTAACCACCATATCACTATTTTCTAACTAACCACCATATCACTGTATTTTCTAACTAACCACCATATCACTGTATTTTCTAACTAACCACCATATCACTGTATTTTCTAACTAACCACCATATCACTGTATTTTCTAACTAACCACCATATCACTGTATTCTCTAACTAACCACCATATCACTGTATTTCTAACTAACCACCATATCACTGTATTTTCTAACTAACCACCATATCACTGTATTTTCTAACTAACCACCATATCACTGTATTTGTAACTAACCACCATATCACTGTATTTTCTAACTAACCACCATATCACTGTATTTCTAACTAACCACCATATCACTGTATTTTCTAACTAACCACCATATCATTGTATTCTCTAACTCACCACCATATCACTGTATTTTCTAACTAACCACCATATCACTGTATTCTCTAACTCACCACCATATCACTGTATTTCTAACTAACCACCATATCACTGTATTTCTAACTAACCACCATATCACTGTTTTCTCTAACTCACCACCATATCACTGTATTCTCTAACTAACCACCATATCACTGTATTCTCTAACTCACCTCCATATCACTGTTTTCTCTAACTAACCACCATATCACTGTATTCTGTAACTAACCACCATATCACTGTTTTCTCTAACTCACCACCATATCACTGTATTCTCTAACTAACCACCATATCACTGTATTCTCGAACTCACCACCATATCACTGTATTCTCTAACTCACCACCATATCACTGTATTCTCTAACTCACCACCATATCACTGTATTCTCTAACTCACCACCATATCACTGTATTTTCTAACTCACCACCATATCACTGTATTTTCTAACTCACCACCATATCACTGTATTCTCTAACTCATCACCATATCACTGTATTCTCTTAACTCACCACCATATCACTGTATTCTCTAACTCACCACCATATCACTGTATTTCTAACTAACCACCATATCACTGTTTTCTCTAACCCATCACCATATCACTGTTTTCTGTATCTCTGACTGCTAGCTTTGCAACTTAAGGCACAGTTGGCATGAATTCAGTCAATATACAGTTTAGATTCTTTGAATACTTCTTCTTCACCTTTGCTGTCTGTAAATTCTGGCAGAAAATCCAGATTGTTCATCCACTTCTATTTGGTCTTGTTCTAGGACTCCAGTTTAAATGCACATCCGTCTTACAGATCTGACTTTTTTAGAAGGCTGTTGGTTCGCCGCCTCTTAAACATGCAGTCTAACTTAGAAGGAAACCTCAATGGTTTCTGTGTTAGTTATCCAGGCCCTCGGTTGGGCTTCTCTTTCTAGGATGGCCGGAAAGATTTGCAGATAGGTTTGACCAGTATGAGTCCGGTCCCAGTCGACCATCACGTGTTGTTCAGCTTTTCTACATCCATTTTTTTTTTTGTGTTCACTAGGGACAGTGATGGGCATTCTACGTGGGTTTGTTGGTACAGGAGCTGAGCAACTGGGGGGTGACCTGTTTGCTAGGAAGTTTCAACTGGGGGGTGACCTGTTTGCTAGGAAGTTTCAACTGGGGGGTGACCTGTTTGCTAGGAAGTTTGAATTGGGGAGTGACCTGTTTGCTAGGAAGTTTCAACTGGGGGGTGACCTGTTTGCTAGGAAGTTTCAACTGGGGGGTGACCTGTTTGCTAGGAAGTTTCAACTGGGGGGTGACCTGTTTGCTAGGAAGTTTCAACTGGGGGGTGACCTGTTTGCTAGGAAGTTTCAACTGGGGGGTGACCTGTTTGCTAGGAAGTTTGAATTGGGGGGTGACCTGTTTGCTAGGAAGTTTCAACTGGGGGGTGACCTGTTTGCTAGAAAGTTTGAATTGGGGAGTGACCTGTTTGCTAGGAAGTTTCAACTGGGAAGTGACCTGTTTGCTAGAAAGTTTCAACTGGGGGGTGACCTGTTTGCTAGGAAGTTTCAACTGGGGGGTGACCTGTTTGCTAGGAAGTTTCAACTGGGGGGTGACCTGTTTGCTAGGAAGTTTTCAACTGGGGGGTGACCTGTTTGCTAGGAAGTTTCAACTGGGGGGTGACCTGTTTGCTTGGAAGTTTTAACTGGGGGGTGACCTGTTTGCTAGGAAGTTTGAATTGGGGGGTGACCTGTTTGCTAGGAAGTTTCAACTGGGGAGTGACCTGTTTGCTAGAAAGTTTGAATTGGGGAGTGACCTGTTTGCTAGGAAGTTTCAACTGGGAAGTGACCTGTTTGCTAGAAAGTTTCAACTGGGGGGTGACCTGTTTGCTAGGAAGTTTCAATTGGGGGGTGACCTGTTTGCTAGGAAGTTTCAACTGGGGGGTGACCTGTTTGCTAGGAAGTTTCAATTGGGGGGTGACCTGTTTGCTTGGAAGTTGCATCTGCAGTTGTCTGATAACCTCTGCATCCGGCTTGGACACCTGTAGGTATGATGACCCAGTAAGTGTTATCCACTTCTGCCAGTTTTGTCAGTAAATGTTACCCGTGATTTTCTGTCATTCCTGCAGTCGAACGAGAAAGTCTTCTTACAACTGCTAGACCTGGAGTACCAGTGCCAGCCCATCGACGAGAGCCGAATCATGGATGTATTCAATAGATTGTTGAAAAGTGATGTGTCTTTAGAGTTCAAGGTCAAAGTCTCTCAGCGGCGGATGGAGTTTCTGGAAGATTTCGGCACCTGCATACAGAAGTAAGTAATTTTTGTGATGTGTTATTGTAATCATGAGTTGTGGGTTGAGTTTTACAGATCTGGCTAATTTGTGTGCAGACTGATCGCCCCTCAGCTGTCAAGCAGACATACTCTACTTCAAAGGAAATCCAGATCCTATATGCATTGCCCAGACCCCTGATTGAGAACCTCTTTATCGGTTATAAAACCTTTTTTTTGTTTTTTTTTTTTGTTTCAGGGAGTGATATTTATCTTCATTTCAGGGAGTAATATTTATCTTCATTTCAGGAAGTGATATTTATCTACATTTCAGGGAGTGATATTTATCCTCATTTCAGGGAGTGATATTTATCTTCATTTCAGGGAGTGGTATTTATCTTCATTTCTGGGAGTGATATTTATCTTCATTTCAGGGAATGATATTTCATGGAATGATCTGTTTGTTTCAAAGAAAGGATGTGTGTTTGTTTCAAGAAAGGATGTCTGTCTTTGTTTTAGGGAATGATACATGTCTTTGTTTCAGGGAATATCTTTCTTTGTTTCAGGGAATGATAGCTGTCTTTGCTTCAGGGAAGGATATTTCAGGAAATAGCTGTCTTTGTTTCAGTGAATGATATCTGTCTTTGTTTTAGTAAATGATATCTGTCTTTGTTTTAGTAAATGATATCTGTCTTTGTTTTAGTAAATGATATCTGTCTTTGTTTTAGTAAATGGATATCTGTCTTTGTTTTAGTAAATGATATCTGTCTTTGTTTTAGTAAATGATATCTGTCTTTGTTTTAGTAAATGATATCTGTCTTTGTTTTAGTAAATGATATCTGTCTTTGTTTTAGTAAATGATATCTGTCTTTGTTTTAGTAAATGATATCTGTCTTTGTTTTAGTAAATGGATATCTGTCCTTGTTTTAGTAAATGGATATCTGTCTTTGTTTTAGTAAATGGATATCTGTCCTTGTTTTAGTAAATGGATATCTGTCTTTGTTTTAGTAAATGGATATCTGTCTTTGTTTTAGTAAATGGATATCTGTCTTTGTTTTAGTAAATGGATATCTGTCTTTGTTTTAGTAAATGGATATCTGTCCTTGTTTTAGTAAATGGATATCTGTCTTTGTTTTTAGTAAATGGATATCTGTCTTTGTTTTAGTAAATGGATATCTGTCTTTGTTTTAGTAAATTGGATATCTGTCTTTGTTTTAGTAAATGGATATCTGTCCTTGTTTTAGTAAATGGATATCTGTCCTTGTTTTAGTAAATGGATATCTGTCTTTGTTTTAGTAAATGGATATCTGTCCTTGTTTTAGTAAATGGATATCTGTCCTTGTTTTAGTAAATGGATATCTGTCTTTGTTTTAGTAAATGATGTTTCAGGGAATGATATTTGTCTTTGTTTTAGTAAATGGATATCTGTCTTTGTTTTAGTAAATGGATATCTGTCTTTGTTTTAGTAAATGGATATCTGTCTTTGTTTTAGTAAATGGATATCTGTCTTTGTTTTAGTAAATGGATATCTGTCTTTGTTTTAGTAAATGGATATCTGTCCTTGTTTTAGTAAATGGATATCTGTCCTTGTTTTAGTAAATGGATATCTGTCTTTGTTTTAGTAAATGGATATCTGTCTTTGTTTTAGTAAATGGATATCTGTCTTTGTTTTAGTAAATGGATATCTGTCCTTGTTTTAGTAAATGGATATCTGTCTTTGTTTTAGTAAATGGATATTTGTCTTTGTTTTAGTAAATGGATATCTGTCTTTGTTTTAGTAAATGGATATCTGTCTTTGTTTTAGTAAATGGATATTTGTCTTTGTTTTAGTAAATGGATATCTGTCTTTGTTTTAGTAAATGGATATCTGTCTTTGTTTTAGTAAATGGATATCTGTCTTTGTTTTAGTAAATGGATATCTGTCCTTGTTTTAGTAAATGGATATCTGTCTTTGTTTTAGTAAATGGATATCTGTCCTTGTTTTAGTAAATGGATATCTGTCTTTGTTTTAGTAAATGGATATCTGTCTTTGTTTTAGTAAATGGATATCTGTCTTTGTTTTAGTAAATGGATATGTCTTTGTTTTAGTAAATAGATATCTGTCTTTGTTTTAGTAAATGGATATCTGTCCTTGTTTTAGTAAATGGATATCTGTCTTTGTTTTAGTAAATGGATATCTGTCCTTGTTTTAGTAAATGGATATCTGTCTTTGTTTTAGTAAATGGATATCTGTCTTTGTTTTAGTAAATGGATATCTGTCCTTGTTTTAGTAAATGGATATCTGTCTTTGTTTTAGTAAATGGATATCTGTCCTTGTTTTAGTAAATGGATATCTGTCCTTGTTTTAGTAAATGGATATCTGTCCTTGTTTTAGTAAATGGATATCTGTCTTTGTTTTAGTAAATGATGTTTCAGGGAATGATATTTGTCTTTGTTTTAGTAAATGGATATCTGTCTTTGTTTTAGTAAATGGATATCTGTCTTTGTTTTAGTAAATGGATATCTGTCTTTGTTTTAGTAAATGGATATCTGTCTTTGTTTTAGTAAATGGATATCTGTCTTTGTTTTAGTAAATGGATATCTGTCTTTGTTTTAGTAAATGGATATCTGTCCTTGTTTTAGTAAATGGATATCTGTCTTTGTTTTAGTAAATGGATATCTGTCTTTTGTTTTAGTAAATGGATATCTGTCTTTGTTTTAGTAAAATGGATATCTGTCCTTGTTTTAGTAAATGGATATCTGTCTTTGTTTTAGTAAATGATGTTTCAGGGAATGATATCTGTCCTTGTTTTAGTAAATGGATATCTGTCTTTGTTTTAGTAAATGGATATCTGTCTTTGTTTTAGTAAATGGATATGTCTTTGTTTTAGTAAATGAATATCTGTCTTTGTTTTAGTAAATGGATATCTGTCTTTGTTTTAGTAAATGGATATCTGTCTTTGTTTTAGTAAATGGATATCTGTCCTTGTTTTAGTAAATGGATATCTGTCTTTGTTTTAGTAAATGGATATCTGTCTTTGTTTTAGTAAATGGATATCTGTCCTTGTTTTAGTAAATGGATATCTGTCTTTGTTTTAGTAAATGATGTTTCAGGGAATGATATCTGTCCTTGTTTTAGTAAATGGATATCTGTCTTTGTTTTAGTAAATGGATATCTGTCTTTGTTTTAGTAAATGGATATCTGTCTTTGTTTTAGTAAATGGATATCTGTCTTTGTTTTAGTAAATGGATATCTGTCTTTGTTTTAGTAAATGGATATCTGTCTTTGTTTTAGTAAATGGATATCTGTCTTTGTTTTAGTAAATGGATATCTGTCTTTGTTTTAGTAAATGGATATCTGTCTTTGTTTTAGTAAATGGATATCTGTCCTTGTTTTAGTAAATGGATATCTGTCTTTGTTTTAGTAAATGGATATCTGTCTTTGTTTTAGTAAATGGATATCTGTCTTTGTTTTAGTAAATGGATATCTGTCCTTGTTTTAGTAAATGGATATCTGTCTTTGTTTTAGTAAATGATGTTTCAGGGAATGATATTTGTCTTTGTTTTAGTAAATGGATATCTGTCTTTGTTTTAGTAAATGGATATCTGTCTTTGTTTCAGGGAATGGATATCTGTCTTTGTTTTAGTAAATGGATATCTGTCTTTGTTTTAGTAAATGGATATCTGTCTTTGTTTTAGTAAATGGATATCTGTCCTTGTTTTAGTAAATGGATATCTGTCTTTGTTTTAGTAAATGGATATCTGTCTTTGTTTTAGTAAATGGATATCTGTCTTTGTTTTAGTAAATGGATATCTGTCCTTGTTTTAGTAAATGGATATCTGTCTTTGTTTTAGTAAATGATGTTTCAGGGAATGATATTTGTCTTTGTTTTAGTAAATGGATATCTGTCCTTGTTTTAGTAAATGGATATCTGTCCTTGTTTTAGTAAATGGATATCTGTCCTTGTTTTAGTAAATGGATATCTGTCTTTGTTTTAGTAAATGGATATCTGTCTTTGTTTTAGTAAATGGATATCTGTCTTTGTTTTAGTAAATGGATATCTGTCCTTGTTTTAGTAAATGGATATCTGTCTTTGTTTTAGTAAATGATGTTTCAGGGAATGATATTTGTCTTTGTTTTAGTAAATGGATATCTGTCCTTGTTTTAGTAAATGGATATCTGTCCTTGTTTTAGTAAATGGATATCTGTCCTTGTTTCAGTAAATGGATATCTGTCTTTGTTTTAGTAAATGGATATCTGTCTTTGTTTTAGTAAATGGATATCTGTCTTTGTTTTAGTAAATGATGTTTCAGGGAATGATATCTGTCTTTGTTTTAGTAAATGATGTTTCAGGGAATGATATTTGTCTTTGTTTTAGTAAATGGATATCTGTCTTTGTTTTAGTAAATGGATATCTGTCCTTGTTTTAGTAAATGGATATCTGTCCTTGTTTTAGTAAATGGATATCTGTCTTTGTTTTAGTAAATGATGTTTCAGGGAATGATATCTGTCTTTGTTTTAGTAAATGATGTTTCAGGGAATGATATTTGTCTTTGTTTTAGTAAATGGATATCTGTCTTTGTTTTAGTAAATGATGTTTCAGGGAATGATATTTGTCTTTGTTTTAGTAAATGGATATCTGTCTTTGTTTTAGTAAATGATGTTTCAGGGAATGATATTTGTCCTTGTTTTAGTAAATGGATATCTGTCTTTGTTTTAGTAAATGAATATTTGTCTTTGTTTTAGTAAATGGATATTTGTCTTTGTTTTAGTAAATGGATATTTGTCTTTGTTTTAGTAAATGGATATCTGTCTTTGTTTTAGTAAATGGATATTTGTCTTTGTTTTAGTAAATGGATATTTGTCTTTGTTTTAGTAAATGGATATTTGTCTTTGTTTTATTAAATGGATATCTGTCTTTGTTTTAGTAAATGATGTTTCAGGGAATGATATCTGTCTTTGTTTTAGTAAATGGATATCTGTCTTTGTTTTAGTAAATGGATATCTGTCTTTGTTTTAGTAAATGGATATCTGTCTTTGTTTTAGTAAATGGATATTTGTCTTTGTTTTAGTAAATGGATATCTGTCTTTGTTTTAGTAAATGATGTTTCAGGGAATGATATCTGTCTTTGTTTTAGTAAATGATGTTTCAGGGAATGATATCTGTCTTTGTTTTAGTAAATGGATATCTGTCTTTGTTTTAGTAAATGGATATCTGTCTTTGTTTTAGTAAATGGATATCTGTCTTTGTTTTAGTAAATGGATATCTGTCTTTGTTTTAGTAAATGGATATCTGTCTTTGTTTTAGTAAATGGATATCTGTCTTTGTTTTAGTAAATGGATATCTGTCTTTGTTTTAGTAAATGGATATCTGTCTTTGTTTTAGTAAATGATGTTTCAGGGAATGATATCTGTCTTTGTTTTAGTAAATGATGTTTCAGGGAATGATATCTGTCTTTGTTTTAGTAAATGATGTTTCAGGGAATGATATCTGTCTTTGTTTTAGTAAATGATGTTTCAGGGAATGATATCTGTCTTTGTTTTAGTAAATGATGTTTCAGGGAATGATATTTGTCTTTGTTTTAGTAAATGGATATCTGTCTTTGTTTTAGTAAATGGATATTTGTCTTTGTTTTAGTAAATGGATATCTGTCCTTGTTTTAGTAAATGGATATCTGTCCTTGTTTTAGTAAATGGATATCTGTCTTTGTTTTAGTAAATGATGTTTCAGGAAATGATAGCTGTCTTTGTTTCAGTGAGTGATATCTGTCTTTGTTTTAGTGAATGATATCTTTGCTTCAGCGAATTATGTTCCAGGGAATGATATCTGTCATTAGAGAAATTATTAAAGCACATGAATTTTAAAAACACAAATGAGAATTATCGGCAGAGTGACAGAGGGCTTACAATGAGCCTCAGAGTATCGGAATGTCCATAGAAATTATTAAATTCAAATGCGGTAAGCATTTTTGTAATTGACTCAAATTCTATGCCTTTTCATTTATGTTTATTTTGATGATAATGATGTAAGAAAGATTATTTATGAATTGAATATATTTCACTGTTTGTGTCAAAATTTATTGCCAGGATTACGGAAGCATATGATGATCATCAAAAGCTTCTCAAAGAAGCCGGCACCAAGAAAAAGCGCCCAGATAAAGAATATTTGTATGTCATGTTTTTGTCTATTTAATTTTATCCTGTTTTTGTAGCCTTTTGTTCTTATAGTCCATGCTGTGTAGCATTGGTTGTCATATCTATCGACATTCTATTCTGTCTCATTTACTTCAGCCATTTCTAACACAGATGATCATCCATGCCATGTTGTCCATCATCTTTTCACTCTCTCTCTGTCTCTCTCTCTCTCTCTCTTTCTTTCTTTCTTTCTTTTTCCCTTTAAACTTTTCCACTGTCATGATCTACTGAAGTTTTCTCCTTCTCATGACATGATAAAAAATATACATTGTCTCCTTCTGATGTGGGCAATCAGTTCTCTTTGTGCGTCAGGCTCTTTCAAGAAATCTTCATTACCTTTTATATCTGCTCAGGGTATTCTTATCATTCAACCTTAAAAACCACATCTCCGCTTGCTCTGTGGCTTACTAATTGTGAAATAAATCATGTGTATAACATACCTTTGTCATATTTTTCAACAGTGTTTCTGTAGCTCACTACCAAATATGTGTTTGAAATACTTCTGTTGTGTTTTTTTTGTGTGTGTGGAAATATTTTCTCAAGTATAAGACCCACTTTGATTTTGGGACCAGATTTTTGGAAAAAAAAGTAATATAAGTACATAAATTTATTGAAATCTCTTGTTTTATTCAACGTGGAATCCAGAAAATTACATTACTGTCTCTCATCCAAATGATTGTTATTTAGCTTGTCCTCATCAGCGTGATTGGTCATTGTCTTTCTGTATCGCCTCATCCACACTTCTCTGTGTGGCATTTAAAATGCCAAACTTTTTTAATGACTTGAATGAAACAATTGTCAAATCATGAGTGTAAAGACTATTACAGCAGGAACAGACTTTTAATTATTATTTTTTTCTATTTTATGTTGCCCTTGAACCGGCATTCCATAATAAGGCCCTGTACAGGATATTTTCAAACAGATCATTTGGTAAAAATGGACTACCATTGTATACGATGCACACTGTTTTTAGACCCTGTCTTTTGGAGAATAAGTGTGTTTTATACTTGGTTTAAAATGGTAGTTTCTGCTACTCACGCAGGTCACTGTGGCTTGAAAGGCAATGAAATAGCGGACAGATTGGCCAGAAGCGGCAGTGACATGGTACAACCAAATAGCGACTTAACCCACCAAGAGATGAAAACACTAATAATACAATCTAGTATCCAAGAAAGGTGGCTGGATACCCACACCAGATTTTCTCCCCAAGACTCACTTCATCGCCTCTCTAGAATTATATTCAGACTAAGGACAGGGCACAACAGATTTCGTCAACATATGTTCACATTTTTCGGTGTTGGAAATACGGAGACGTGTCCCTGCAGCGTGGCACCTGAAAATGCTGAGCATGTGCTCCAACACTGTCAACTGTACGCTGACAACAGAGACGCAATCTGGCCTGTTCCAACCACACTGAAGACAAAACTGTATGGTACACGAGAGGATATGAATTGCACGATAGCTTTCATAAAAGCTACCGGTCTCCTGATATAAGTTTTCGGACAGAAGGATCGAAGAAGAAGAAGAAGAAGACTATTCTACTCTTGTTCCAGAACTTGAGTTTTTCATGCACATCGATTTGACTGACCTGCTTATTTGTTCGCCAAAGCTATGTAGTGCATGTTTTGTGTGGCGTTGAGAGAGACTGCTCAGTATGGGATAAAACCTAGAGCAATAAAGTCGATTTTCTCACCTCTACATTGCAGAGACACACCTGATTTGGTTAATTTATTTCTACTTTAATTGTAGTTTTTTTTGTTCAGACCTGAAGAACCAGCAGATAAAAAATCCAAGCATGAAGCAGTAGCCAGTTTCCCCCCAGTGCCAGAACACACTCTACCACTTTTACCACCGCCACCAGTCGGAGTGCCACCACCTCCACCAGTAGGAGCAGCACCACTAGACGCACCTTACAGCTATACTCCATGGCCCAGTGCTGGCTATCCTGCTTCGGTGGTAAGTTCTCCTACCTGGGAAATCATCACCATCATCATGTGCCGTCCTAGTAAGCCGCTGTCATATCTCGCTATCTCACAGGATCACCAGAATCTCGGATCAGTTCAATGTTTTTGTCTCATTCCATCTGGAGTCCAGGTATTTATCTCTTTGCCTTCCTCTTGCTCTCCTTCCACCAATCTTGCCTGTTTTTATCAGGTTCTCAAGTCCATTCCTCCTCATAATATTCACATCTCTCTGAGTTACACAAGTTTGAAAGTTTTTCACAAATGAGGGGGAAAAACAAACACTCATACTAAATGCTCCCAGGCATCGGTGTGGGAAATGTCGATGGAAACTATCTTGGACCGCCTGACAGGCATAAGAAGCAAAGTACTAATTGTGTGTAGTTAATCAAAGTCCCAGATCTGCAGGCTGGCTCTTAAAGGCGTAGTCCCTGATAAATAAGAGGCTCAGTAGACAGAAGTAAGGTCAAACAGTCATGAGCAGGACGTGACAATTCCATAGGTGAACTCAGTACCAAAGCACCATGTTTTGGCTTTGCCATTAGGGAAGCCATTTTGGATGGCAGTGACTTTTCATTCTGCCCCTGTTTTTTCTTGAGGGCTGACCAGCTTTTCATGGCTGCTCTGGTGGGGACACCATCTTTGAACTAGGAAACAAAGATGACCACACAACAGTGAGACTGCAGTGTCTCATGAAACTAACTGGAAGGCTAACCCAGGCAACAAATGCCTTCAAAAGTCAGATGTGTCGGCTGAATGTTGCAAATATAACAGCCATACTGTAAACAGGCACAGCACATTCACATCTCCATTTAACTTTTTGTAAAACTAGAGTACATCTTGACAGCATTGAAGCGGTGGGGAAGAGAAAGAAGTAGAGGGAGAAAAAGGGAAAAGGCCAGTTAGGCATCAGGGCAAGGAGGATCATTTGTGTCAGAAATTATTAAAAGTATATAAGACAAAAGGCTGTGGAAAGACATGACTACCAACGTGTTTTATTGGACAGTTTGGCGTCAGGGTAAGGATGATCATCTGTGTCAGAAATGATTAAAAGTGCATAAGATAGAAAACTATGTATCGATGTAACTACTAACACCATTCAGCATGTACTGTCAGAAGAAACAAATGTATGTGCCTATGGCAAAGGACTACACACTATACAAATAGTGTTTGAATTTCTAAAGATAAAATGTGATCTTGTACATAGAGGACAGATAGCAATTGCATGTGATAAATGAATAATAACATTATTTCTTTAAAAGGCAGTCGCTAAGGGTTGCTTTTTATAGCAGAATAAGGGTGTGGGGTGGAAGGAAGCCACCCATGGGTACAGTTAGTAAGTGGAAGAGTTGGCTCCCTCTGGGCGCTTGCAGTAATGTGGCTCGCTCTGGGGATTTGCAGTAATGTGGCTCGCTCTGGGGATTTGCAGTAATGTGGCTTCCTCTGGGCACTTGCAGTAATGTGGCAACCTCTGGGCACTTGCAGTAATGTGGCAACCTCTGGGCACTTGCAGTAATGTGGCAACCTCTGGGCACTTGCAGTAATGTGGCAACCTCTGGGCACTTGCAGTAATGTGGCAACCTCTGGGCACTTGCAGTAATGTGGCAACCTCTGGGCACTTGCAGTAATGTGGCAACCTCTGGGCACTTGCAGTAATGTGGCAACCTCTGGGCACTTGCAGTAATGTGGCTCCCTGTGGGCACTTGCAGTAACGTGGCTTCCTCTGGGCACTTGCAGTAATGTGGCTTCCTCTGGGCACTTGCAGTAATGTGGCTCCCTGTGGGCACTTGCAGTAATGTAGTTCTCAAGCTGTGAAAGAGGTGCAGTGTGGCACTACCATCAGTGGTGTTTGGTTAGAAAACAACTCATACCATGATGCTTGACAAATGAGATCGCTGTTTTCTTCTTCTTCATTGGCTTTTAAGAAAGAGAGATGGTGTTGGGGTTTACTGCTAGGCTATGATATCTGCGCCTTTCAGTCCAACATATCTGATTTCATCAAATCAGTTAGTCACCTGTTACAGCGTACTTTTTCAAGAGCAGCGGTTGTTTTTTTATTGCCTTGAGATGGATCCCAAACAGGGACAACATGCTGGTCGTAAATGCAGTAAGTTACACAGAATGGTGTCACAGGTGTTTATATGAATTTTAGTGTTCAACTAATTACATCCAGTTCACATAAAAGACTGCTAGATGCCACAGCTGCCTGTAAATCTCCAGAAAAGGGACATTTTAGAACATTGAATCATTTATATCGACTGTCATTTTTGAAGCTAAGACTTACTCTGGTTTGACAAACAAGTAATAGGCCAGTGGTCGCAGCCCACTTGTCAAGGCACTTCATGATTGTGTGTTAACCTAAAAATCTGTGTGAGGTTTTTTTTTTTTAAAGCATTTCTTGGCAGTGCTGGCATCAGTGGCCTTGGGGTTCTAAATGCAGTTTGTAATTCTGGGGGGGGGGGGGGAAACCACCTTTTTGTTGATTTCAACAAAGGTAGGGAGAGCTGACCATATAGCAAGCAATAGCAAACTGGAATGTCAAATATCCTAGTGAAATCACAAATGACAAACAGTTCCATTTGCAACATCATTAAAGGATATGCAACTAGCTTAACTTGTCGAATGAAATAAATTGTGTTGCACAAACATGTTTTTTTCTGATAGAATATAGGATCTTGACAGCAAGCTATAGTGGTACCTCAGTATAGTACATAATCTTGTTCCTGATCCTTGAAATTAAACCAAAAATAATTCCCCATAAGAAAAAAGGGTGAATGACAAATGATTAATCTGTTTCCCTGATAAAAAATCTTGTTTTCATAGTAAACATTGATGGGTTGTATACAGTAATGCATATACTGTGAATACTAAAATACATAAATAGAAAAGTAACTGGATGAAATAAATAGAAACTTAACCTCACTTGACCTTCCTGAGAAGAATCGAGCACCTACTAGGATGGTACTGAGAAGAATCGAGCACCTACTAGGATGGTACTGAGAAGAATCGAGCACCTACTAGGATGGTACTGAGAAGAATCGAGCACCTACTAGGATGGTACTGAGAAGAATCGAGCGCATACTAGGATGGTACTGAGAAGAATCGAGCGCCTACTAGGATGGTACTGAGAAGAAAGGAGGTGAAGATCTGGTCATTTAATGTTTATGCTACAGCTAATGTTATTGTGAGACCCCTTCCAAATTCTGATGTTATCCTCTCTCTTTTTTTTTCTGTTTCTTTTTGCTACTTGGAGCTGGTTGGGGCTCATCAGGTTTGACTTTGATTAAATATCTGTCCAAAGAACTTTGCTTCTTCCTTCTCCCCAGGATGTTTAGGAAATGTGACATTGTTTAATCATTCCAGACAATGTTATTTTCGCTTGTTTGGGATTTGCTGGGGTGATACTTCTCTGCAAAGTCATTGACATCTCTATCTGGGACTTTGTCTCCAGAGGTAAGAAAAAAAAAGATAGCGCACAATGCCTTGAGTAATGTTGAAACTTACAAAAGTTCTATCATGCGGGTCATTTTATAAACATAGGTCATATACTGGGCAAACGTTGCCACATCAAAACAGGACGCATACCAAGGTGAATGTGAACTGAGGTACCACTGTACTTTATGGTCAAGTGAATGTAGTGAAGGCTCGCTGGACAGTGCCACGGAACAGAACATCTTACACAAAGAGACTGCAGCAGGGAGTGGGCAGCACACGAGGGGAAATCCTGAGTGAAGTGGTCAGTTCCTGATTTAATGTGTCCTTCATTCAAGTTTAGGAATATATTTTCTTCCGTCAGCGGCCCCTGCTTTATCTTTTTGTGTAAAGTCATTTAGAAATTACTTGTGTAAAGTCATTTAGAAATTACTTGTGTAAATTCATTTAGAAATTACTTGTGTAAGCTTTTTCTTCCATGTTGAAATAGAGCCAGCATAACTTTGCAACGTTTTAATATTTATTGTTTTTTTTTCCTCCCCAGCCAAATCCGTGTGCTGCTTATCAATATCCAATGTATCCAATGCAGTATAACTATTATGGATATTAACCTGTATATTTGTGTTCTGTATGAGTTTGAATAGTTCCTGTGAAACTGTTTGTTGCATTTAGTTATTTTTCTGGTCTCTACCTGGGGGATTTTTGTAAGTTAAGGCAGCTTGTCCAAGCAGATGCCAGACGGCGGTTATGTTGAAGATTTGCAAATTGATTTCCAGATCTTCTGCGTTTGCTCTGAAAATGGTGGTTGGAACATTGCATTATGGTTTACGGCTAAGGTTCATTATCTGCTGCCTTCAGCACAAGACGTCCCATTTCAGCAGAGTTCTCATTAGTCACATTTTAGGACTTGCTTACTAGAAGGCAGCAGATCTGTTCTTTCTTTAACCAAAATAATGCCTCGAAATCCACAAGGGAAGACTATCAAATGATAATAGAGTCCCCTGCCACACCAGGATCACTTGGTATGTGAGACAGGGTACACTTGATGTTTGGCTTAAATGTTTGACAATGAGTTTAAAGCCGGGATTTACACATTTACTCTGTGGGTTCTTGGAACAGCTGGATGGATGGATATTCGAAAACAAAAATAACAAAACTCCTTGACTCCTTCAATCTGCCCCTGGTTGAGCGGTGATTATATCGAGTCCGTGTTTAATTGCTGACTCTTAGTCGTTTTGTTTCTCTGAGGCATTTGGTTGCGCCTTGAGTTCCGATTTTCATGCGCGGGCCTTTCCTTTCTTTTTGTGAGAAGTAAAGTGTCTGTCATCAGGCAAGGTGACTACCACAGTTGGTTGTGCTGTTGTCTTATGAGAAGTATATTTTCTGTCATCAGGCAAGGTGACTACCACAGTTGGTTGTGCTGTTGTCTTATGAGAAGTATAGTATTGTTTTTTGAGCAAGGTGGCAACTACAGTTGATGGTGCTGTTCGGTGGCGGGAA